CAGAGCCTTCCTACCCTTAAGCAGATCAACATTACCACCCAATTTAGTGTTCTCTGCATTCCTTGTGCAGATCTTTTGAATTTGCTAGTTTCTTCAGAGCTTCTTCAGTCTTGGAGGTCATAACAAAGAAGAAATTTTCAGAATTTGATTCTCATGACCTCTTTAGTCATCTCCTCCACACTAAATGTTGCCAAAAATGTGTCTCCTACACTGGGCATCCTCATTTCCTTCCTGTGCTTGAGATCCTATCCAAGCACATCCCTCAGACCTATGGTAAGAGACACATACAGTGGCACTATATGTCAGTATCACCATTGCTATTCTGTGAAGTCTGGTCCTTAGCAGCTCTCTTTGAGCTTCCTGAAAAATCCCTTGGGTTTTTTGCATATTTGCTCCTTTCTCAGATAAGTGAACTACTCATTTTTCTGACATGATGCTTGAGACTCACTGAATACAATTTGGATGGATGAAGTACTGATAAAGCAGTAGGAGTCTCCTGTGAAGTAGCTCTCATCATGATTCCTTTCAGCAAACGTTTTATCCCTTATCTCACTGTGTATTTTGATTGAATAGTCAATTAATACAGCTTTTGAAGCAGTGATATCATACAAACATTTTCAATTCCCTACTACCATATTCAGAGCAGCTTTGCATCCAAGATCTAAGGTCAAACCACAGATTTAATCCATTTGTAAAAGTCTGCCCTCCTTGTCCTTTTGTATGTGGGAGACAGAACAGCTACAAATGAAGGATTCCTCTTGCATATAAGATCACCCAGGCAACATACAAGGAGAGATAGGATATAAGAGAGGTCATAGGCACTACTAACAAAAAAGTCTCCAAGCTCACACTGCTGAGGTGAGTATATACCCACAATGAAATGCACATATGGACAATCATTCAGAGAATCTGTATTACATGGCTACTTATGCCAAACTGCACACATGAAAGTATTAAGAAATACAGCAGCAGCAAAACCAATCTGGAATGTACTTGGGCTCTGTTTGTAAATTACCTTTAAAAATTGCCAATAGGTTTTCCTATTTTCAAGTATTAGACAAGACACAGACTATCAGAGTCAAGTGCCTATCTGACAATGACATTTTAGCCTCCAATGTTATGTTGACCTGGCAAAGCTAACACAGAATTTGATGGTACAATTCCAATAGTGAACTTCAATACTAGAAGAGCAGAAATCACCATCTCTAGGAAGCACTTTCTCCACAGACTACAGAGGGTGCTCAGAACAGGCACATAACCTCAGGCAGCCAAAGCAAGCAAACATGAGACTCATCCAATGGGTCAAAACCACAAATAAAGCTTAAGATAACGGAAGTTCTCTCAGCAGTGGCATGCCCAATGTGCGTTAGCCTACTGATACAAAAACTGACAAAACTGAAGTTACAGGATGACTACCATTAATTAACACACACACACACAAAATAACACAGAGAACCAGGTGAACAAACCAGAAGTTAATTTTCTATTTATTACCACTGAGCAATTCTCTGGTATGCTTCTCCTGGCCTCTTTCAAAGCTATCAAGTGGGGGTTTTTTGGACATACTGGAAATCAGAGTATTTCTGATCATTCAGAAGCTCCAAAATGTCTTTCCAAACATCAAAATGACAACAGGAAACAAAGACCACCTGAACTATATTTATACATGTATGTCTATTATGCACAGGTATGAAATTCTAGAAATAGGAACTTAAGACATGTTTGAGCCCTTAAATGCCTAATTCAGTAGTACATGTAGAAAGCAAGTGGAAAGGACATTTGACTATAATTTATTAATTGTTTGCATAGTATTTACAGAGTGTTTTCTCTCAAGCTTCAAGGCTTCTGCCTGTGTACTGCAGGGGTTAAAAAAAAGTATTCTTAATGCGCAAGCCAGCTTCTGGGCTGTTGGTGGCTCTTTTTCCCCACCTTTCTCTGAAGTACAACAATACTTCCTCTGAAGAACAGATCACAGCTAAATACATCAAGGAACAAGGTGTCCTAGGGCTTCTACAGGCAATAATCTCTGAAGTGCTTCAGTGATGTCTGTTAGGAATGCAGTCAGAGCTCAGCTGCTTTTCAGATTGAGGAAAGGGGAATGAAAGTGACCCATTCTTGGCATTTCCAACAAATGATGAAAAAAATGGGAAAGGAGAAAACCACATACATTTCAGACGTTTTGTTTTGATAGAGAAAGTTATTCCATTGTATTACACGCAAAATCCTTTTTCAACTGGTTTAAAAAATTCCACACCAAGTGGCAAAAAGTTTTGCTTACGGCTTCAGTAGGACAGACAAAGAATACAGCAATAACAAAGTACCAGCTGCCTCTTACCTGCTTGCATACACACAAATATTATCTACCAGTGGAAGATTCTTTAGAGCTGCTTCTACTTTGCCAAGAGAAACATATTCTCCTGCCTGGAGTTTTACAAGATCTTTTTTACGATCTATTAAGGAAAAAAAGGAATTGGACGTTAATTACAGAACACAAAACTTTTAGACAGTGATTTTATATTTTTCTGAAATGTACGTATAAATGCCAAAAGGTAAGCTGACTCATGTTTGGTGAATGTACCAGAAACATTTAACATCAGGCTTCCAGACTTTGTATTTTATCAATCTGTCCCTCACTTAAACATGAGACACATTTCAGTCCCATGCATTTTCTGCCTTTAGAACAGTGTCTCCTATATGACTGTACTGGCATGTAAGTGGAAGACAACTAGGATTACGCAAAAGCCTGTGTTTGGCTAGAAGCACACATTTTGTGCTGTCTGGTCCAGATGCTTAAGGCAGGAAATGCAGCATTCGGTGACATTTTGTTATTTATTCCCAGGCTAAATCCATATTTAAAGAGCAACTGTCCGTCTGTTATCTGAAACACAACAGGAACCAAAAATTAAGGCCAAATTACTTGAGTTTACTGTATGCAACCCGAAGAAAGCAAAGGCATCTACAGGGCCTTACCCACCTAGCTGTGACAGCAGAGCCAGGAGTACCTCTCCTTTGCTATATACCTTCACGCTGCTTTGTGCAACCAGGCAAGGTAGTTCTGTAGCTGTCTGACCTGTTTGATCAATGCAAGGCAGCTGCAGTGGGACCTAAGATTTTTCTCATAGAATAAACCAAACAAGCTTAGTTTTCAGGAATAAAGAGCACCCTGTATCACCCACTGACTTCAAGAGACACATCTGGTAGTTTATAGGGCACCTATTTTTGTGCCTACAGGCATCAAAGAATCATGAGCCTATCACGGGATTATGTATAATGCCTTTACCTTAGTTATGTTTTTTCCCCAATTCTTTTATGGTAAGGGGATATTCTTATTATAAAGAATAGCAAGGTCAAAAAAAGGGCTTATTTAACTCCTGAGCACGTATTACCAAGAGAGCCTTTTCACTGAATCAAATTCCACACTTACAAAATCTAAGGCAGCTTATCTAGCTTGATTAGCCTATATTTAACTCTCTAATTACTACCCAGTCTCACAAACACAGTAGAGTCAATGCTAAGACAGTTTTAAAAGGAAGGAATTGTTTTAAAAATCAGCTTGTAAAACACACAATTAAGTTTACGTTAACATATCAGAATTTCCCTGGGACACATGGTAGGGCTTTAGACTGCATGCCAAGATACAGAGATTGTCTTGTTGCTGTTAATTACAGTATTTGGCAGCCCTGAAAAGTGTGTATGTGTGTTCACCTGAGTTTAACAACTCACCAATAATTTTTAGACATCCATCTTGATGAAACTCTCCAATGTCTCCAGTATGGAGCCACCTCTGCCCATTCTCATCAACAGTGAAATCTTTTTTGGTTCGTAGTTCATTTTTGTAGTAGCCCACGGTCACATTTTGCCCTCCAATAAGAATCTCACCTCTAGGATATGGTTTATCGGTGTTGTAATATCCACCTAAAAGTATGGTTTTTATTAAGTTAACAAGAATTAAAATATATTCCAAAGCAAGAATTCCTATTATTTTTACTACTTAAATATAGAACTAAACACCTTACTAAGTCTTTAGCCAAAGTTACCACTTGCATAAATAGTTCAGTAAGAGAAGAGGCAGTTCCAATTCTTTCTAGCATATACACATCTATTTAACATGTGTTTTTACAAACAGTGAAATTCACACACATGCAGAGGGCAAATGCTACCTCTATGCAATCCTTCTGCCAGGACTGACATGCGTTATCAGCTTCACACAGGCTCAAATAAAAAATTTGCCTCATTTTAGGAAAGAAAAAACACCTGTAAGGTCCCAAAACACCCTGAAGTATTACATATTTCTACTCTACCACACATAAAAGCCTACAGTGAAAGGAAATTACCTAAATACATTTCAAACTTCATTAATATATTTTACGTAGCATCCAGCAGGCTTCCACTCCATATGTCAATTTTTTAATGATTTTATTAATAAAAATATTCAAAATAATTTCTTAATGGCAACAGAAGCTATCATGCATGCATTTCAGTTGAAGTTTCCTGAATCCAGCACCTCTAAGACACAACATACAAGACCCGCACCCTGTCGTGCAAGAATACTGATCCAAATCAGAAAGAGGTATAACACTGTACACATTTACACAGTTATAGTGACTGGATAAAAGAAACAGTATAGCTAAAGAGAGTCATAATACAACCCAGTCAAAATGCCACTTGCATTGATAGCTTCTAGCTAGATATCTGTAAGTATAAAAACCACTAAGGAATTTATTTCACCTTCTTTCTCCCCCAAGATAAAACTTTTATAGGTAATAGTAGTATTTAAAATTTAGAAAGCCAAGAAATAGTCTTCTGATTACTACTACTGAGCAAAGCCCAATAGAAAAAGCTACATAAAGTTCTTACAAACACACTATCACATACAGAAATTCTCACCTTCTTCCCAGTTCATTAACTTGATTTCACAACAGACCAAAGGTGCTCCCACTCTCCCTGTAGTGTAGTCCCAAACTAGAATTTTAAAAAGAGCATTTTTCAGAAAAAAAAAATTAGCAAAACCAATCAGAAAAATCTTTGTTGTCACGCATCTTATTTAGTGAAAATTAACTATTTCTGAACTTTAATTCACAGAACAGCGCTTCTAAGAAAAGCAATGGATCTATCAAGGTAATGTAGATAAAATCCTTAGCCTGCAAAAAGAATAGACATCTGTATTTACAGGTACCTCCAGTCATAACACCACAGCTTTGATAGTAAGCCACCCACATGGATCACGCTTCAGAAGCGGCACAACTTTAAATAGTGTTTGCTGGACTCTGAAATAAGTAGCAACATTTCATAACAATTCTGGGATTCTATATTTTGATCCACTTTCCTGAAATCTCAATCTCAAATACTTCTGCATCTGGGCACCTTCCCAGAAGAGCATCACTGAAGACTACATCATTTGTAGTACAGTTTCACTATGGGTTTTTTTTTCCAAGCTACTCAAGAAGCCTTTTCCAAAGACCTCTTGGAATAAAAACCACACTACAGCAGTTTGTGGATCACCAAGGAACATAATACATGTTCTACAATCTGGCATAATCTAGTAATAAGCTAAGGCTACTCCTCATACGATTCCTAGGTAGGTCACATCATTGCCAAAAAACAGCAGCTCTGACTGTTTCTGCCACCACTGAGTACGAGTGAAATTTTAGGACTAAAAGGCAACCAAAACCACAAAGTTCTGTTATATGAAATGAAAATCTGGTGCAGTTTCAGAACTTTTGAGTTCCATTTTTTTATTTTCCTAATGTCTCAGTATACTCACCAAAATTAGAAATAATTTATTCAGTTCAACCGGTAAGTGCAATAATGCCAAAATCCCATTCACACTATTACAGGTTTCTCTATCACAAAGGAGAACATTTATTTTGTATGTAGGTCACCAGCTCTAGCACACTGTGTCAAAACTAGTACTCCTACTGTTGTATGCATTTATGATTACAAGTAATTCCCAGGATTCACCCATTAAGTTTGGTGGCATACACCAAATTAATACAGACTGCCAACGATGATACAAGCAGAGTATCTGCTCAGCACAGATCACAGAACTCTGTGGGATGCACCAACCTTCTGTGATTGTTCCAGCTCCTGCTGATTCAGTGAGTCCATACCCCTGTCCTACAGGGCAACAGAAACAAATGTTCATAAACCGCTGAGTTGCTGCAGAGAGTGGAGCTCCTCCACAAAGCAGGATGCGAATTTTTCCACCTAGCAGCATTCGTACTTTCCGGAAAATAAGGCTAAAATGCAAAGAAAAGAGTATATATTTGTTGCTTAAAAACAAAAAAAGAGAGTATCTAATTTTGTATTTGAACTGAAAGTTTCCACCATCTTCAAATAAACTTCTACGGCATTCAAGGAAAACTTTGAAGGAGCACATTTCAGTTTTCAAAAACACACTTGAGATTTCTAAGCTTGTTTCCACATTCTAATTTGAAGATGGGTTAAATGTTTTGAGAACATAGATTTCTGTGATTTTCTCTTCAATTATAATTTAAATAAGCTGTATAAATTTTGCTATCATATTATCCTTTAGTCTCACTGAAGTTGGGAGTTGCACTTGATGATCCTTAGGGGTTCCTTCCAACTTGAGATACTCTGTGATTCACTTCTGTGAAAATGTGAAGTCTACAGTTATCTATAGGAATGGACTTCCCTTCATATCCAAAAATTGTATAAAACCATTATTAAAATCCTGATGAAAATAATGCAATCAATATAAATCTCCAATCAGTTTCAAGTTAAATAACACTCACTTAAATTGTATCAGTAAGTATTTAAAAACATCGCACAAACTACTGATTTGTTGTTTCAATTTACACTTAATTACAGACTTGTTCATGTTCGAAGTGTCAACATTACAACAAAGAAAAGCACACACACACAAAAAAAAAAATCAGATACTGTTCCTGTGGTAAGACTTTGATAAGCATTTTTTTGGTGCCACTAAAAATAAAATTAAAATTACCTATCGCAGAGCGGGGTAGTGTAACCTTTGGAAATCTGTTCCATCTTGTAGTTGTAGGCCAATATAAATAGATTCCGCTGGAAACTAGTCATTTCATTCACTTTATTCATGACATTTTTGTAGATCCGATCCATAATTTCCTAGTTACATAAAAAGATTAACTTTAACTCAAAGAAACAGAAATCCTAAATTCGGTACAACAAAAAAGAAACATGATCTAGAAATTCTAGTGGGTTTCAGATGACAACCTACTGCCAGGTTGCGTCCTCTTCCATTGCTAAGAGATAGCAATATGTTCACAGAAAGGAGAACACCTGAACAGGAGCACTAGTTAACTCCAAGCTGCCTGCTGCCAGCTATCTTTACTCCATTCATTTATTATGATGAACAATAGATGACTCATTAAAATGGCAATCTAATCCCCATGGCTATTTAAACTTTGAAAAAAATTGACACTTGTATTATGAATGTTTATCCCCAACACACAAGTAAATATCCAAAATACTATTTTAAGCCAGCTTAACATCAAAGGTTCTACCTTTTTTTATTTAAATGATCATTGCATTAATTTTGTTGTTCAACATTTTGAATTATTAATTATATTTTTAAAATATTTTTAAAAATTATTTATCCTTCAGTTACTTACCGGTACAGCTGCCATTAGGGTTGGCTTAAGCGTAGTAACATCACCTTTGCTTCCTTTCTTTATTTTGGAGGACTAAAGTGAAAAATAAGTTACTAGCAGACACATTCAAGATTTTTAGCATGAGCAACAAAACGACATAGCACATCTCTCAAATAATCTTCTTCATTTAAATTCTATTCTAGCAATTAAAACTAGTCCAGAGTACCAGACATAACCACGATACTGTTTCATGAATTGTAGAAAAGAAAATGTGTTGTAATATTTTTTAAGAAGTATTACAAAGATCTGGTGTAATTTTTTTTTTTTTTTTTTTTTTTTACTGTAAGGGCTTACATCTACAACATACCTGGTCAGCTAAAGTCTGAGGGGAAGAGTAACCAATGGGGCACCCATGAGACAGACACACAAGTTCAGCACTCAGCTCCAGAACATGGGCTAGAGGCAAATAGCCAATATAGATGTCTTTTTCCCTGTGAAGAATTTTTAAAAGATAGGTTTATTACCTGTACCATTAGAGACCTCAGATAAGCCATTAAGCTAAATCTACACAGAGCTTACTGCAGAACTAGAGAAAGTGGAAAAATGCCTTTAAGCTTAAGAACACATTTCAAGTAGCATGGATTTTGTTTCAGAAGTTGTGTATTGTATACCGTAGGTTTAAGGCATGAACAAAGTGTGATGCTTACTCATCCCAAGACCATTAACCATGTGCTATGGCTGCAAAGGCAACTCTGTGGACAAGATTAAAAGCTGCTCCGAACAGAAAGAAACCACAGAATTTAACACTAACCAAAGGAAGTACTGCTTAGGGAAGCTTTCAACCATTCTAGTGCAAGGCAGCCTCACAGGCTTTTGTGTCCCAGTCTTGCCCACATACAGGAGACGAGGCAACAACAGCACATGAAGCAGTCGTGTCGCTTAATGCAGTACTGGAGGATGGTCAGACATCAGAGCACTGTATGATGTGTGTCCTGGTTTGGACTAAATCAGAACTAATTCCGGTTTAGTGCTTTAACTTTTCAGTTAAGTCTCCTCTATCTAACAGCATTTTCTGAAACAGCAGCATGTTTTTCCAGACAGTGACTGCTTCTAGCAGTGATAAGGCCTGATGTTTATAGTTTGTACCAAGGAATGGGATTCAGAGAGGCCCTCACTTATACTTGTTCTTGTAGTGACCAAGGTCACTGCTAAATCTTGTACTCCATGTTGGGGTGCCAGGAGTGAAAAGCATCGCACCTACAGGGAGAAGCGAACTGGACAGGTGACCCAAACCTGACCAACAGAGTATTCCATCCCATACACGTCATATTCAGTACAAAACAGAGATCACGAGGCTCTCACTCTCTTCTTCGATGGCCAACATCTGAGGAGGACTCTGTCTGTTCTTCTGTCGTCGATCCCGATCCGTGCATCCCTGAACCCAGTGTCCGAGTCCAGCTCCTGCCTCCTGTCCCTGTCTGCTGCAGAGTCCAGCCTGGGACTGCCCCAGTGCCAGCCCTGCAGTGTGGTGGTGACGTATTGTCATCAGGTTGGGGGAGTTGGGTTCGGTATTGGTTTTGTGTGTATTTGTACATATTGTATATGTTTCATTATTTCCTTATTCTTATTATTATCTTTTCTTTTATTGTTATTGTTCCATTAAAGCTGTTTTAGTTTTCTTTTCTAAAGCATAAAGCCTCTCTCCCTTGTTCTCTTTCCTTTTCCCTTTTGGAAGGGGAGAGGGGTTAGTAGAGAGCGCCTGTTATTTGTTAGTGGCCAGCCCAGCCTCAAACCATGACAACGTGTCATAGACAACGCAACATAAAACAGTTAATATTTTACACAGTAATTAATCTAAAATATGAAACTACATGACTTCTTTATTTGCTGGTACGTAACTGTTGGTACATACCCCAGATTTGGAATTCTCTCTGCCATTCCAGTTATCCCAGCAATTATGTTGCAATGGGAAATCATAACTCCTTTGGGAACTCCTGTGGATCCACTTGTGTACATAATCACCGCAATATCCGAAGGCACAGGCCTGGCTTGCTGTTTGTTTCCTGTAATTTGTGTTGAAAAATGAGAACATATAACGTGTGGTGAGCCTGTCAGACTGGGAGATCTGATATACTAACATATATCAGCAGCCATTCCAATGTAACACTACAGGACTATTGCTATTACATTTTGCTTTTGGTTAAAAAGATTGTTGTCAAGCTTAAGTGCCTTCAGAAAGAGTAGGAACTTCTCTGTACTAGCTGAGCAATACTTTGAGTGATTGTCCTCATCTACTATGACAATACTTTTTCTATTATGTTTCTCATATTCCTGCAGAGGAGAGAAAAAATGGGCAGAGCTTTGGCTCCTCCAAAATGCCACTGAGTTTGACATCCTTAGGAAGGTATGCTGCACTGGTTCCGTGCTACCACAGGGTCAATCCCTGTTTGCAAAGCTACTTTCTCAGGTGCTCCCCAGCAGGGGAAAAACATGCTGCCTCATTTGCAACACTTGCAGCAAGGCACTGCTGAGCCAGCATGAGGTCAAATTTCTCTGAATATTTAAAGGAAGTTCAATAGATTTAATAGGATTAAAGTGTTTTTTAAATACTTGCACTGAGAGCAAGAAAATGGGAAAACTGTGTTTATTGAAAGGAAAAAAACTGCATAATACGCAATATGTGCTGCACAATGCACACGCTGAATGAGAAGAGTGAAAGCATATTTAACAGCTTCCTACTCACTGAATCCTGTCCATCCCACAAGACAAACAGGAAAAACACATAAGCAGCAGCTCATGTACTTAATGTAATATTAATTGAACATACTTAACCATAAACAACTCATTGTAGTATTCCACAACTTATGAATGGTTAACGTGACAAAGAATGTTCTTTACTATAATGTATAGTATGTGATAGATTAACAAATCTCAAGGAATTAATCAATTATAGCCATATTTTTTTCTGTTTGTGTCTGAAACAGTTTTAATAGTACATAAAACTAGTACATCAAAAAGGAAAAGCCATCCTTTAAAGAAATTGAGAGGTCATGATGTTGGGAGCAAACCTGCCATTCCCCTGAACATCAGCAGCAGATGGATTAACTGCCCACCCTACTCCTAAAACAAAATTCAATCCAATATCCATGTGCCTTCAGTGGTTAAAAGATTCTGAAAACACAAAGAATAAGAACAGAAAAAAGCAACTACTGAATATAATGAAATGCTAAGATACTAGGTTTAGTAGCTCTTCAGAGCCAAGAATAAAAATTTATGATAAGTTAAAACCCCTTCTGAAATTCTGAATTCCAATTCTAAAATTGTTACATAAATTGGAAATAGATTTCAAGAAACTTACATAGTAGACTGATACTTTCAGAAATGCAATAAAAGCAACCAAGTTTTAAATGGCTATTTTACATTTCGTTATTTGTGAATTTAACAAAAATTAATGGTAGCAAATAACCTGGTTTGTTTATTTTTGCTATAAAATGCACAATAATCTTGTCTGTGTGCTCTAAATAATCTGGCTTTATATGTCTGATGATAAGAATGCTTTCTAAGTTTCTATCCTGGCCTAAATGCTCGTCCTAAGAATTATTCTTCAACATGTGACTCTTGGTTGTGGAGAAGACAGTTTTTATTAAAAGCATTTTACCCTGTTAAAAAACAAAACCACCACACCCCAAAATCCAACCACAACCAAGCCAAAAAACCCCACAGATTTTATTAATGCAGTTAATCACTACATAATTTTTTGAGATCTGCAATTTCCCCAAGTTTACTCAACAGGGTCAAAGTAGGACAACAGATGAGATTATTCAAATGGAAAGAAGAGATAGCCTACCAGTATCTGCCTTGGCCCCCATCGCTTGCACAGAAGCCATAGTGTGAACAATGACACCCTTGGGAAACTCTGACCATGTTGTTGGTTTGCCATCCACGGTAATAATATGTCGCAGTCGTGGAACTTGAGAAACAATTTCCTGTGGACATGAACATGTGTTCAGAAGTCATACGTGAGGTTTGTGCCAAGAAGAAAAAAAACAACCTAAAACACACCCCCTATCTACTGTATACATTAAAAAAGCATTGACATAAAATATCTGAGGATTTAAAATATCAGAGGATAAACGTGTCTAGCTCGTACAGCTGCAAAGCTTGAAACTTTCCACATTTAGGTCTGCAGGAGTGATTGAACTTTCCACTTACAAGTCCAAAAACCTTTCCAACCATTTACTGATCTGGGTCTTATTTCAAGAACAGCCCACAAATAAGACTGCAATGATTTGTAGAGATAATTGATCTTCCACTCTCATAGAACACCCAGAGAAACAGGCAACACTGAGCTCACAATAATTCTTATGCTGCTCCTTGATTACTATGCTATTTAAAGCAAGCAACAGCTATCAAAAATATGGAAAATTATTAGTTAAGCACTATTAAGCATTTCAAGCAAAATGCGAGTTTTAAAACATTTATCAGTGCTCTAGCAGAAGAAGAGATTATCATCATCTCTAGCAGAAGTAGATAATTCTCTTACTGCAAGCTGAAATAAATACACATTGTATATATACTGTCATTCTAATAACTTTTAAAAAAAATAAGGTTTGGGAAATTCTCATTCAAAATTCAGCAACAGTTTCTAATTAAAACAATTTTCTTATACGAAAGGTCTAGTTTCCCCAAAACACATGATGATGTAACACATGCAGATTAGTTGTTCCACTTGTGTATTCGATCTGGGTCAGTAAGTCAAAAAAGTTTTTTTTGACTGTTCTAATGTTTAATAAGCTTTCACCAGCACTGGAAAACAGCTCTAACTCTTTGAGCATCCATCTTTAGATTTAAGAGCCATTCTCTCCTGGGAAAACATCCAACAATAAATCAGGAGGATGATCACATTTAGCTATTCATATACAGCTTATACACTTTTCTGTTCTTCCCATTTGCTTCAACTGTTAAATTTATAGGCACTAAATCCACCCAGAAACCATAGCAGTTTCTTCTAAAGGTGTTGTTCCAGGCAGCACTGCAGCTCTTAAATAGAGCAAATTGCTCATCCTGTTCTCCAAACTTACGGAGAAGCCTAAATCCCACTGAAGGCTAACTTATTGTTTTTTCTGTACATGAAGACAGATACATAAATCTTACTCTAAAAGAAGTGTCTGCCCTATAGAAAGGCAATAAATCATATAGAAAGGCACTAAATCATTTTTCTGTGCAATGTAACCAGGCCTTTTAACAATAACAGATACACTGGAAAGAGACAGACAAAGAACAGTCTTCTGACCTTCAATTTTGTTTGCATCAATTCTTTACTAGTAATGATGGTGGTCACCTCTGTTTCATTTAGGCCATGTACTATTGCTGGGCCTCCCAGAGTAGCATACAGTGTAACAACTGAAACAGAAAATGGGGGAAAAAATGGTGAATCTCCACATTACACTTTCAGGTATAGCTTATAATAAAAGGCTGAAATTAGGCAACACAGTACAAATATTTGTTAACTAATATAAAGGTGGTATGGTTTTGTGCTTTTAAAAATACATAGTACATGGATTTAAACAAAGTATAAGTTTCAGTTACTCCCAGAAGGAATAAAGAACTATTGTCTATGTGACTTTTTACTATTTTTCAGAGTGTACCTAGAGGTACCAAAACCACCTTACCTTATGTAATTCTCTTCTAGATCTACTCTTGTACCCCCATGGCTTTTACAATTTTAGAAGCAGGCACCTGTTCTCAGTTTACTACACTGTTTAACAGTCCTCTTGTACGCAAGAGAAACCGCTTTCATTTACATGACTTCAGAATTCACATGCTTTATTACTAGCCTTTTACAATTGACTGCTAATAAGAAAACACTATAACATTGTAATACATGCCATCAGCAAATTAATTCTCACACTCAGTAATAAATCTGTGACTATCATATACTCCCATCTATTTAAAACAACATAATAAAGACTTATTGAGTTTGCATGGCAAGGTTTGGTAGTAGGGGGCTACAGGGGCAGCTTCTGTCAGAAGCCGCCAGAAGCATCCCACATGTCCGATGGAACCAACGCCAGC